CGTCTTCGGCATACACAGCAGGTGTATATTTCTGGCCCAGGGTTTGACTCGATGCCAGCCCTGAGTAGGAGAATGCGTAGTGAATGTTGCCCTATGGACGGACAACTTCTGAGATACTTCGCCGACCTAAACGGGGTTAGATCGCCGAAACAACAGCCCTTGGTCGGGTGAAACCCGAGTCATTCCGGTACGTAAAACCGGCTGTCGTGGGAATGCAATAGCGGGGATAGAACACCCCGCTGAAGGGACACCTTTTTAATCCTGCTTGTTTTAGATGTTTGATCTTGAAAAATTACTGACTGGTTTTAAAGCTTGCGCCTTTCCGATAGTCACCTAAAGCTCCCCGATAGCGAAAGTAAGAGGCATACTGCCTTTTGGCAGCTGGTGTAGCCTTCCAATAACTCGACATTTAGCCTTTCCTGCCGAAGGATGCAGTGTAAATTACCGTATAATATAAATCTCACGACGTTTAGAGTTCAACAGTTTATGTGAATAGATTGGAGTCTGTTCAGAGTCTTTTCTATACTTTGCTTTGCGCTCGATGAAATTTGTAGACGCTATCCCATCATATCGTTCTCGTTGTTTATTGATAAATCTCATGTCCTTACGAGTCCAGTCGAAGTGGTTTGTCTTTGATATAATTGCAGGCCCTTTTGATTGCCCCTGCCTCCTCATGACAATTCGTTTTAATGTTCCCTCACTGTAAACTTCGAGAGCTTTTAAGAACTTACTCATAAGGCACTTATAATAAGGGTTTCGCTTATTCTGTATGTATGTACATCAGGGCGGAGTAATTTCTTCGGAGCAAAGTTTTCGAAGAATTCTACCGTTGATTCTAAGCAAAATGGCAAATTAACTGTATACCAAAAATTGCCTTTAACCCTCTCAATTTTCAAAAGTAAAAGCAGTATATTTTATGAAGAAACCACAAAATTTTTTAAATGAAAAATTAATTTCCTTCAGAAAAAATTACACTGATTTTTCTTTTAAAAATTGGGAGGGTCAAACGTAATTTTTGGTATATAGTTTGTTCACAATTTTTGCTTAGAATCGAACGTAGAATTCGAATGTACCATAATTTGTTCACAACTTTTACACAACATAGAAGAACAGGTAGCTGCAATTTCTGCATACGTAACTCAATTTTTATTTATTTGGTTTATGAAACTCTTCGAGTATAAGTGCGATATGTATGTATGTATATCAAACCAATTCTTTGGTAAATAGCTCGAGTTGTACGTTAGGCCAGCGTTACTTATTATACAAATCCCAGGAATACCCATTTAAGCTATGTTAACTCCATTATCCCTGTGAACTGCGAAACCGAACTTTTGGTGGGTCTACCGCTAAGTGACAAAAGTTCATAGAATAACTTATCAGTCAAGTATTCGACAGTTTCTACAACAACAGCAATCTATGGATAGGTAAGTAATGCACAAAGTAGGTGAAAGCACCCTGATTTGTTGTATTAAACCTTTGGTGGTTATTTGATTGTTCTTAATCTAAAAACTTCATATTTGTAGCAAAGTGTAAAAATATGATAGGTAGTAAATTTTTTATTTTTTTTTGTACATGTAACTTTGTACATACCAATAGATCAGGTTCGCTGCTGATGCCATCCTGTGTGCGTGGCACATTTGTCAGATGCCTTCCATTATTGCCGCGCAAGTCTTGCAAACTCTTCCAAGTGCTCATATCGAAACTTCCAGCACTCAAAGTTGAGGCCGGTGGCGCAATATCCGATGCTTGAAAACCAATCGAATGACGTTTGACAGGTGAAGGTGCAGGTGCTGCCGATGTAGCGACACTTTGAGCACTTTGCTTGACCTGTGATACGTCCGCGGTAGCGTGGCCCGGTAGCGATTGACGTGCATTACGCGCGCGTGTTAGACAATCCTGCAGCAAAGCATATACTTGACTGGCTGTTGGGCGGTGCTTTTGATGTTGCATAGCCAGCATACATGCGGCAGGATGCAGAAAGAGATGATCATCAGCAGCGGTACAACTTATGTTCGACGCAGAAGCAGCGGTGGAGTGCACAGAAATATCATCCAAGGATGCGTGTGGCGCAGTGAGCGTTGATTGATCCAAAATGGCTGCCTCACCATCGTCTGCGCTGCGCTCGACTAAATCGTCGCACGACCGTGTTGTTTGGAGCGAGGTGGCCGGGCTTTTTATTAAATTGAAGTTAGCGAGCAGATTTGGGCGTGTAGGCGGGCAGTGCGCACTGCTCGTGGACGTGCTAGCCGTGCTCTCTGGTGGCGTATTAGGTTCAAGGCGAACGCGTGCGGCTGCCACCTTTTGTGTAACATTATCGAAATTGTTAAATATGCCCATAGGACGTGCGCCCATCGGACGCATGCGTAACTCTGGCGCGCCAGGAAAGTCAACTACTAATATACGATCAGATATGTTATTGCAGTCATTGTGGAAACCGATGCCAGAGTCCGAATTCGAGGTGGTCGTTGAGATCTCACTGTGGTTACTTGGTTGTGGTGAATGTGCGGCCGCTGCAGGAGCGCCACCACCACCAACTCCGTGTCCATTCATAAACTCTTCGGCTGCGCTATGTCTCACCACTGGTGGCATTATACGCATTGTATACATGCTGCGTATGAGGTTAACAACATATTCAGAATTATTCGGAAATTCCAAGCATAAACTGGATATGGGATCGCGTGTGCAGTGTATACGAAATTCAGCGGCTCGTGGTACATGCGCCTGATGCTCACACAATTTTGTATCGATAACAAAGACATGACAGCTATTCGAAATGCTAATATGGGCATTGCCATTGTTACCAGCTGCTGGCGCTGCTGGACCATTACGACCATTCAATGGCTCGTTATGCAGCTCGTCATCATCTTCGTCTTCTTCGTCCATTTGTAAAGTGTGCACGGAGCTAGTGACTAAACCGAAGAAGCGATTTTCAGTTTCCGATGAAGAACTCACATAGTTTAACCGTTCAGACACGTAACTTGCAAGTGTATTGCCGTTTGCGGCCTGTAATCGCAGACAGTCGGGTAATATAGTCATTAATACCATGTTCGGCTGGCGCTTTTCTTGACGTAGTTTACGTATGCATGAGCGTACAGTTTGTAATTTTGAGCTATGCGAAATTTGTTTTGGCATTTCGATAGTGCCCAGATAACCAACAATAGCGCGATACTCTAACGCAGCGGCTGGTGCACGCGCCATGGCATTAACATTTGCCAAGTCAGCGACAGCGCTGTCGGAGGTAGCAACTGCAGCTGTGGGCAATTTTGGTGCACTACTATTGGGCATTACATACGGCGAACCACCTGCGGGTAGCGGTAAATCTTCAATAAGCGGCCGTAGCTTCTGCAGTTCCATCGGCTTGAGCGCGGATACACTCTTTGACAGCTGTTCGGCGCGTGCCAACTGCTGCTGTTGTTGTAAAGTAACTGTGCGCTTCTTTTGAGGCGAATTCCGTAATCGATGCATCTTGGCCTTGTGGTGTAGATAACGAGGTTTTGCGCGTGCGCCACCCACACCTAAACCCAACTGACTGGAGAGTACGCCATTCATTCCAGTCGCAGATGATTGCTGTTGCAACATCAACGCTGCATTCTCTTCATCCGAACTATCCGAGTAATAGTTCTCGGCGATTTGCATACGTATACTGCCAAATGAGTTGCCAATCAATTGCACAACTGTTTCGTGCGGTAGCTTGGAAACGTTTAAACCATTAACGGAAATTAGAAAATCGCCAGCACGCAGCCCAGCCTGGTCTGCCGGTGAATTGGCAACTATACATGAAAGCCGGCAGGGTTGCTGACCAGATATGGTAAAACCGAATCCATTATAACCGCGTCGCACTTCTACAGTGCGTGTGCCATAGTTCGGGCGCTTCTTACGACGTCGCTGTTGCACATGTGATGTGCCTGTACTGGTACTGGCCCCATTGACTGCACCGACACTCGCAATAGCATTATTGCTAGGCAGTGCTGAGGCTGTTGTATTGCTGCTGGCCGAAGGCGTACCAGTGGCAGGTTGTGCGGGCGAGAGTGGATGATGGTGATGCATAATTAATGGGCTACACTGAAGAAAAACGTTGTTATTAATTATTGCAATAACTTGTTAGAGAAAAGTTATTAAAATTACTAACCTGTATTCTCCCGAATCTGGGAGCGTTTCAACGACAGCAACAAAACTTCTGTTCGTAAATTGGTTTTTATTATGATTGGTTATCGATGCGCCGGCGTAAATACTTTATCAAACGTAGGAGCAACAAGCATATCAATTCAATAAAAACGTATCTTACAGTTTGTCTAGCGCTTGATTGGATGTACGTATGTACGTAATTAGCTCTTCTGATATGGACCAAGCGGCGTTGGGAGACTGGTAAAAATCAAGTTTATTACTTCTGCTCTGCCACCGCTTACCACTTTGTCTGCTACTGCCAAACCACTTGATGTTTCTGCAGTATGCCTGTCCACTATATGTTTGTAAGCATGTACATACATGCATATGTGTTTTTAATAACTCTTCGTGCTATGATGTAGCAGTAATAGCAACTGCCTTCACAGTTTTTATGCTTTTATTTGTATTGACCGTCGCTGTTTCCAACCTATCGCACAAATGCACAAACCTGTTCAGTTTTCATTGAGAAAAAATGTCAAATTACCAATTGAAGAGATCGGTGATCGGTTACAAAATTCCTTTTGTTGAAAACATTGCTGGGACATTTTTAAACACAAACGCAATCAGCGGGTTTCATTTTATAACATAGGTAAAATTAGCTTAAATTTTTAGGAAAAAATGCATACACAATTGGAAAATTCTTTCACTTTTTTATTTAGCGTCTTGCATTCCGGTTCCAGCTGCATTAATTTCTTGCATTCCACCACACTTTTAAACACTTGAATAACTATTATTTTAAGGCTTAGAATTGCACTAAATAGATTAGCGGCTTCGTTTGTTTGAATTTTATTAATTTTTAAACAATAAACAGCGCAAACGCAGCGATCTTTCACCAGTTGGCATTTTTTCACAAACGATAGCTGTCAAATTTAGAAAGTGACGAGAATGAAGAAATGGCAAAAACCAACACAGGGTTGCAAATCTACATTCAAATTACAGCAATTTTCGAACGCATCATAATAGTAACGTACCAAAGAACGTATATCTATAACGTTACCTATTTACGTTCTTTGCTTTAACAAATGAGATGAAATATATGAAAATGCACGAAGCGTGCCGCAAAACTTAGCACTTTCGAACATATATTTTCGAAGAGCGTTCATGCTATCGCATTTACCAAATGTACATTTACGCGAATTCGAAATCGTATACTTTTGACAAACAGCCCTGCAACTGTATACGCGGAAAAGCAATGTTGCCACTTTTTCTCATTAAACCATATTCGAATCCAAGAACGATAGAACAACAAACGACACGACATTTTTACAAAGTTTTTATTACAATTTAAATGTTTTTTACTTCAGAACGCACGAATTACTTCGATTTTTCACTTGAAAATACACAATACGTTTGCAATACGTTTGTACTTGTTTATAAACAAAAAGTTTGTTTACGTATTGCCATAAACGTCAAAGTCGGCAAAACCAAAGTAGCGGTTTCGGGAATGCGTCACCTTCAGTTCATTACACCATGGTTCGAATCGTGGACATTTTTGAAGATCACAGGGTTGCTTTTAGCATTTAGTCTCTTAATGCAGAAATGGAGTAGCATTTAGGTGACGAGTTTTGTATAGATAAATGTACATTTACAGCCGTATTCTAACAAAGTCACAAACTTTAGCTCATCACTGCTGTGATTTCTACTGCGCCTCAAAGCTTGCCGCTGCAAAAAATATGCCGCTACAATACAAATTTTTAAATTTTTGTGTATTTTTCTAGCACTCAAAATCGAATTTTTTGTGACACATTTCTCGGCGCACTATAAATCACAACAGTGATGAGCTAAGTTTTGTGACTCTGTTAGAATAGAGGGGATAGAGTAGCATTTAGAGCTAAATGCGCTAAATGTGCTTTTATGCGTGAGCAAAAACAGCCCATTAGCTGCAGCGCGAAGCGAAAAGATGATCAAGTCCCATCGTTTGACTATCAGCTGGTTTAATTCTTAATATATGCAGCACACTGTCCTCCACCTAAGTCTGATCGGGACATCACTAGCTGTTCCAAACGCTACAAGCCTTTCCAGGTGGACGACCTTTATCTTGTTTTTCGGTTTCAACGGCAAACCCTCTTGGTTCGATGCGTTACCGGAAATTGTTTCCGAATTATCGCTTGGAGTGCACCATCTCACATGGTCCTGCTTATGTCGGCCTCTGATGGTGACCTGATTATGGCTCTTCCTATGGGTATCCGCCGGAGTTCTGCCGCTTCTTCTGGCTGCAAAGCACTTAGCACATCTTGCTACGCACTCTTTTACTGACTGACGGAGGCAGACTCGATAGAATATTTTCTTAATCCTCTCTAGCGTTTTCTTGATTCCTAGTGGCTCTACTTTCGCACCCCTGTCGAGAACGTCACAAACTCTTTCCTTCGGAGCAACCATTAGATTCCGGATGCCCAATATGCCTTTGCGATGGGGCTTTCCACTGATTCTTCCTCCCTGGTCGAACGCTTCCTCAGCTCCAATCCTCGCATCACAACTGCTAATTCCGGATCCTCACGCTGAAACGTTCCTTCATTGACCGGACAGTATAAACCTGAAACTGGGACTCAGGACTTACTGCTTGCCTTTGCATTCTCTGCCGACCACGACCTTATCCTATATACTTCGAAGCGCAATCACTGCTTCCTCCTGCCAAAAATACCTGCCTATTGAACATATAACAGGCTTGCCATGACTAATTCCTTGTGGTGACTTCCTCTTTTTCTCAGGAACGTCGGAGCGCTGAACAGCTTCCATCTCCGGCCGAAACAACTCCATCTCCATCACTGCCAACCTTTGCTCAACTCAACAATTCTTTTGTTGGTCGAATCTGCGGGACTTCCTCTAAGAACAACCGTCTGCTGCAGTACTGATTGTCGTAACCAATCCTAAGTGGCACTTCCCTATAGTGATATCTCGGGATTTTTCTTTGCAGGTCAAACTTCATGCCCAGACCGAGTAGGAGGTCCACGCCGATGATGACTTTTTCCACGATGTGTGCCATTATAAACTTGTCGCATGGCATTTCTCCTAAAACTTGGGTGCACTCACCAGTTGCAGTCCGTAACTTCGGTTTCACATACCAAGTGGCCAAATCCGGTCGAATAATGAAATGTGAAGCCCCAGTAATCCCGTAGAGTCTCGTTCGCCTTTTGGTAGCGATTCTCCAGCTTCATCTGGTAAATCCGACTCCTGTGCTCGCTACCATAACGTCTTTCCATGGTACCCTTCAACGCATAGTAATTTTTCCTTTCACAATCAGGAATTGTCGCTGCAGGTCCTTTTAATGCAACGAAGAGCTTTAATGGTTTGCTGTAGCCTTATTCTCGAACTGAAGCTTAAAGAGCTGGAAAGAAATTGTGCCGCCAAAGGATGGAGTTTTTACCAAAAGGAACGTTGGTCGAAGTGGCTGAGGGAATCAACTGCAAATCGCGGAGACGATCCTCTAGTTCGTCCACCTTAGCTTCGGGTTTGTCCTATTCAGGGCCGTAGAGGAATCTTGAATGTAGGCCCCTAAACACTGGCAATGTGGAGAGCATTCGCAAAGCGATACAGGTGTTTGGGAACAGTGTGTCTAAATTTTAGCAGTGGTGGCATTTAAGAGGTCAAATGGAGGTATGCAATCCTTAGAATTTTCAGCAAAATTTGCCTAGTTTTCAAGTGCATCAGTTCATTTGAAATCTCTGCGGACACATCAGCAGTTTTTTTTTTCGCAAAGGAAAGTGCTGCAGTCTGGACGTCTTTTTTCCCCATTTTAGGAAACTACCACAAAATTGAAAGCATTCCAACTCTATTATTTTTCCAAAAATTCATATCCTTTCTCACAGTTTTGCGCCCGTAGGAAGGAAGGCTAAAAAAAAGTAGATGATTTCAAAGAGTTCAACTGATCTTACAAATTGAACGAAATTAAATAATATTTAACTTGTTTTGTGATTTGCGATTTATCAACATCTTATAAGATATACTCTGGAGTCTGAGTACGGGCCCCCTTGAGAAATCCGGGCCCGGGTGAAAAAGTTCCCGATAACCGGGCCTCATACTGTTCTCATCAATAAATAAGTACCCAAATCCCGATTTAATTCGTATAAATTAATATAGAGCAAAAATACAGTTGAACTTTCGCTTTTCCCATTATTAAGTTATTTATTTACAAAACTCATTTTTAATTAAAAACATGCAAATTGCTTATGTGCTATGATACCGGCAATAAGTAAATAATAAAGAGTATTTTTTTTTATTTTTTATTTAATATGTGTTCTAACGTTCTAGTTTTTTCACTGGAAAACAATTTTAAATTGGTTGTAAGTACTTAATTATATTTAAATATGGAGATCCATTGTCATTTATGCAAATGTAGAGATTTAAATGAAATAAATTAAATTTGCACCTGGAAAGAATTCCTTTGGCGTGAAAACATATGCATTTTATTAATCATTTATTTTATGTACTTTATAAAAAAATGTATGTTTTTTGTGCATTTTTCCTCCCGCATAAATTCACAGTTTCTTTGGTTAACACCTGTGGACGTTTTGCATATGTATACTTGAACTTATGTGCAAATGTATGCATTAATTTATGCCTGCAATTGTAATAACACCTTTAATGACACAATTTAAATTTTCCGCTAAATGCGTAGTTAAACAGCAAACTGAAATATTTTGCACATTAAGAAACATTTGTGCATTTGTATAGGTATTTACATACCTACATATGTATGTAAGTATGTGCAAAGGTTGACGGTAATTAGAATGTAAATCATTTTCACTAACGCAATAAATATAATTATTTATACTATACACTTATGCAAACTTGCTCACATACATACATATAAATGCATTGTACAAAGGATTATGTGCATCCGTAACGGGTTATTCATTTCGCGCTTGGAAAAGTAAAGTAGTATTTAGTCCAAACATAATTATTTAATTAATGAAATGAAATGGCTAACCCTGTACTTAAACGATGGGGATTAATTAGTAGGGTGATAAATTTAGTAGATTTTTTTTTATTTAAGCCGTGCAAAACGCGAGTCCCCAGATAGTTTTTATATATTTCTTAGGTAAAATATCAGTTAGGGTATTCACACCCCCCGGGCTATTTGTTTACCTGGTTGAAAGTTGTTATTCTAAAGTGGTTGAAAACTGAGTAAAAAATAAAACCACCTAACCCAATAACACTGTGCGACAATTTTATGACAATTCAAACCAGCCTGCACTTTGCTAATATTTTCTGAGAGTATACATATCCAGTAATAAAACACTCGATGGATTTGCAAAATTTAGCTGGTATTTTTATTTTATGGCCTTCTGAAGTTTTCATGTCTCGGCCTAAGATGTTTTCAAAAAAGCCGAAAGAATGGTTAAAATAAATGTCTGATCGAAATTAACGGTGCAGACATACATAGTAAAATTGCATGGAAAATATTTTCGTAGAACATTTTAATCTATTAACTCCCGCCCGAAAGAGTCGTTTTGAACCTTAGTTCAAGAAAGCCCGCAAAAAACATATTTGGAAGTTCGTTAGAGGATTGATATATTATAGAAAATTATTCTTTGGAAAATTTTACTAGGGGTCTTCTAAGGCAAAAACTTCATACCACCAACCTGAAAGTCTCTATAAAATTAAAACAAAAAATCTATGCCAAGGATTAACAGGCAAGCTCAATTGTACCTTTTTTTTGCAAAAAAAAACTAAGTTTTTTTTGCTGATTTTTTGTTTTAATTTTTTAGAGACTTTTATGTTGGAGGCATGAAGCTTTTGACTAGTAAAATTTTTCGAAGAATAATTTTCCAGAATATATTAATCTTAAAGGATCTATTGAAATCATAGTTTTCGAAATATTTTTCCCATTTTCTGTCTGCTTCCCAGCTAATCGAAAAGAAGCTTGTTTTGCATCGCTCAGCGCGATATATCTCGGGTTTGAAGCGAATCGGACACATGCGCAAAGTTCCTTGGAATCGTATTGGACAGTAATTCGGGGATCAAATGCGGAACAGCGAGCAATTGCGATATCAGCGGCACTGTAAAAATTTAAAAGTATATTGGGCGCTACTTGGGGCCTTTCGCCTGCTCTTTCACATAGGATATTCACGGCTTTCTTTCCTAAAAAGATTAGAGAGCGTTTATAGGCTTTCAGTAACATCGATAACGACCCTTCGTAAAATGTTAGCTATGAATTCATATAGTGTGTTGGTGTTGGTTGATTTTTCCGACAGGGTGGTAAGATGATTTTTTCGAAAAATGACACTGAAGATGGCACAACGCCGAAACCGGTTTGTCTGCAAACCAAACTTGACAAGGGATGACGGAAATTCGTTCCAAAATAATTCATATAGTCTTTACAACTTCCGCGAGACTTTATCCTTTGTAACGTATGGTCACAGTAGTATAGCATGATCCTGAATATATCGAATATAATCAGCCTCATTGCGAGAGTCGTGTCGAATGCAAGTCGTTTTTCGAGAGTCGAATGGTATCCAGAATTTCATGTCATTGCCTAAAATTTGGATTCGAGTGTATTAAAACCGAAAAACTTGGCAGCACTGTACAGTTTTCGATGATTTTCGTCGCTTAGTTATTTCAGTACGACAGTTGGCAATGTCAATGTAGTCTAGTCGCACAATTTAGCCCTATTTATATAAAATTTATAAAATATTTTATCCCGCAGCTGTATTTCGAAAGAAGGCAATAGGAAATTAGCCGTGGCAAAAACTATCCAACTGCATTAGGTCTCAGGACACAATGGTGTTGACGGTAAAGAAAAAGTTGCCGAGCTGGCCAAAAGGGGCATTCTTCTCGATGCCTCACAAACCACGGATTAACCGATTCCTCTATAGAAAGTCAAACCATCTCACGAACTTCTTATGTAACCGTCAGGCATATGGGTTGTATGATTTCAAAGTCTACATGGAAAACTTACAGATTTCTTGCAACTAAGCAATAGGAAGAGCATACTCGATACTTTTGATACGACTGTTGACGGGGACCGGGGCTTGGTAGCAGCGTGTGCATACAAACTAGGTTGAGTTGGCGAGTCAGCAGGACCTAACTTAACCTAACTGGATCCTACTAATCCTGCTAATATTATAAATGTGAAAAAGTGCGAGTGAGTATTTAAATGAAATTTGGCGCACAGATAGGTTTGTTATGTCCTGGATTAACGAATGGATATTTTTGAAGAGAGTTACCACCTTTTTCAAAAGTTGAAATTAATTAATTAATAGGTTAAACAAAATATAACAACCATGTGGGTGTCAAACGAAAGGGGTTATAAAACAATCTATTTCGAAACAATGCCACCTGCTCAAAAAGTTAAAATCAATTTAATTGACTAGTTAAATGAATTCTTTTTAACGACAGAGTTCATTTGAAGGTGCAAAACAAATTTAGTTACTAGAGAGGTCAAAGAAAGCTTTATTTCAAAGATAGTTTCTGAGAGGGGTGCCACCTGTTAAGAAAAAGAAAATCCATTTAAATAACAATTTAAATTAAATATTTTATATGGGTATCAAATAAGGTTTAAGGAAGCTCTATTTCGGAAATATTTTTGACGAATGTTGCTACCTGGTTAAAAATTAAATATGAATTTAATTACAAAAGTCAAAGGAAATATTTTAATATGGCTGTCAAACAAGAGAGGTATAAGAAAAGCTTATTTCAAAAATATATTTTAAGAGGTTTGTCCTCTGTTTAGAAATTCAAAACAAATCTAATGAATAAGTTAAACGAAATATTTTTTTTTTATATCAAAATCAACTATTTAAAAATTCAAAATCAATTTATGTGATGAAGTTCAGTGAAATATGTCAATATGGGTGTCAAACGAGAGACATTAAAATGTAAGCTTTCTTTCTAAAAAACTTTCGAAGGTTTATTTATAAAATATTTTTGAAGAGGTTGCCACAAGTTTAAATGTTCCAGTTTAATATATTTAGGGGTTAAATTAAATACATATTACAGTGCGGCTGTCTAAGGAGAGAAATGAAAGAAAGTTTTCCTCCTCTTAAATAGACTGGCTCGATTAAGATAATCATCCGAGGAAGAGCATCAAAATGATTAGCCTAATTCTGCAGCATTCGGTACAACAGATTGAGGTGCAGCTGCAACATTTGACAATCATAACGTTCAACCATTTATAAAACGGATGGGGCTGCGGAAAGAAGCTAAATAGTAACCAATAAAACAACATCGTAATTGAATTCATATTCATAGTAAGTTTATTGATACCACAATGTTTTGGAAAAGGTGTGTTTACATTACAGTATTCGCATTAGTTAGTCTTTATGCAGATTTTTTTTAGACATCAAATATGAAAATTCAGTATACATACATATCTAAGCAGTCGTACGCTTTTGAGCTCGTCGAACTTACATATCTGTGCTCTGCTCAAACAATGCCATGCTATTTGCTCGAAGTTCAACTGAGAGCTGGAGAAAAAGTGACAACCAACTGATTTAGACTAAAAAAATGTTTATGTATGTATGTATGTAGTTGTATAAAAATAATTTTTTAATTTATTTTATTGCGCAAGAAACAAATGATTTTCGTGTTATTTTCTAAAAGTAAAATAAAAATTGTTTCTAATATATTTCTAGTATTTTTTTAAATAAGCCAATTGTTTTTTTTGGTTTTGTCGCTGCACTTTTAAATTATGATATTGGTGCTGGCTGATAGCCCTTCTGCATTTTATCTGTATATATGTAGTAATAAAGTTTTTTTTCGGTTGATAATTTTATTGTATTTTGAATTATGTTATAATTAATAATTAGCTTAATCATTCTAATGACGCCTAAAAGCTTACTACTTATGTATGTATGCAATGTTAACAAAATATTATTATGTATGAAAGCTATGATCAACATACACACACACACACACATACTGAAAATATAAATACAATATTTTACCACATCTCTGGTGTTAGTTTATGAGAATTTTTATGTTTTGTGCTTATTTTCTATGTATGTATATATGTATGTACCTAAAATTAAATATAGCATACATACATGTGTATTAGGGTGGTCCTTAAAAATAGCAACATCTAAATATTGTCTGCGGCACCGCTTTATTTTGTTCTATGTATGTTTAAAAATATGTATTTATTAAGGGTAGCGTACCGGGTTTGAAAAAATTTAATTTGTTTCCACAAAATTTTCACTTCGACCAGATATAATAACTCAACAAGTTCTGATCCCCTCAAAACAACTGGTATATCATTTAACGCGTTTTTTAATTGCCTTTCTAACGAAGAACTGATTTTTTTGACCGGACTTGTAAGTTTAGTCATGAATGAAATCATACCGCGTAAAAATACAATTATATAAAAAACTAGCAAAAGAAGAAAAAAAAAATGCGTTTTGGGTTAGGAAGTCCATACTGACTCTTCGCTATATATAAGTTTCTTGGTATTTTTTCAGGATAATTATTTGTAGACCAGCATTATAAAACTCTGAAAAATGCTGCATTTATTCCGAAAACAATTAAAGAATTGACAGTCTTTGGAGCTGCATATTGCATGGATTTGGTGATGACTATGAATTTCTATGAATAATTCTCAACTTGACTTTAACAGATTTAAATTTTTTCGAAGCCTGATGGCGAATACTGAAAATGAAGTTTTGTACGTAGAACAAAATAAAAGTGTGCGCCATAAAATTTTTTTGATATTGATATTTTTTAGGACCACCGTAATATGTATGTATGTATGCACGTTTACACGCATTCATGTATGTATGTATGTAGTGAATATTAAAAAAAAAATGCAAGCCATTGAACTGATAATGCTAATTGGCGTAAATAGTTTATCTTTAATTTAATTGTAGTTGTGATGCGATTAGTTTTATTTACTATGCGTATTAACATTTAAAAGCAGCCATTTATAAATACATACATATTTCTCTTTTCCATTGTCTCTTGCGTATGCTAATCGTACATAAGTAAATACTCGTAAATATATATGCATGTGTATCTATGTATGTAAGTATGTATACTTATTTTGCTTAAATTTTTATTAATGTACGCAGATGCTTTCATATGCTGTTTGTTTGTATGTATATGCATATGCATGTATTTGTGTATGTAAATATATTATTTTTTGGAAGTAGTATACAATAAGTAGCCAACAATACATACATATGTATAAAAGCTATGGCGCCTTAAGGTATGCTAAAGCAATGAGACGCTTACGAGTGGATATGAAATACTTTGGGGTTCGTATTATTTTTTATTGTTTTTTTGTTTTGTGTTTAAGATCATCGTTACTTCTCCGCGACCTTACATATTTACTTTGAATTTTTCATTCGCTGTTTTTTCCAAAAATTCATATATTTTTGTTTTACTTAATTTGTACCTTAATGTAAAGTTTTTTTTTTTTTATTAGTTAATACTTTCAATATATTTAATTTTTATTAAATATTATTATCATTATTAGTTTTAAATTTTTAGTTTAATATAAACTTAAAGTGCGCATTGCTAAAAAATATTCTAATCTTATTTGTATTCATTATGAATAGTTTATACAATAGGCGGGGAGAAATGCGAGCGCCACCATGGCGTAACCTTTTATGGCTTTTATGCTTAAATTTGTTGACTCTATTTTTAATTTCTTTTTTGTTCCTCAATATTTTATTTATAAATAGGTATGGCGTCTTTGAATGATTTGATCCAGCGCCGGAGGAAAGGAGTAAAAAGTGCAATACAAATTGAAAAAAAGGCGTGGGTACCAGGTACTCATGAAATTTGGTAAAGTTCATTACTATTTCAGGATAATTTTGTGACTAGTTTCGAACTACCGCAAAATGATTCCGAACTAGCACAAAAATTGTATTGAAGTGGTTCAGAAAAAAAATGTCTATTTGTCCCAAAATGATATCGAACAAGTCTGAACTAGTTTCAAAAGGTCCAGAACTAGGCCTAAAAGGGCCCTGATATAGTCGTGAACTAGACCCGATAGATCCTGAAATACTCCACAAAGTTTGATATGAAAAATGTTATTAAGTCTTTATTCTGCAACAAGTCGTTTACGGCTTTATAGTTTTCCACATTAGCTACTACCCGTTTACTTGTGGGGACAATCTTTTCAGTCTAATAGGTAGACACATACTACTTACTTATGTATGTATGTTGCTGGTCGAAAACTTGTTAGAAGGTCACTGAAAAAATTACTATGGAACTGTAAGGACTTTAAGTTGAAAATATTCAAATTAAGTCAAGGTATTTAAATGCATGCACTTTTAACTCCTCTCTGCGTGACGCTGTCAAACCATTTCGAATATTTTATATTTTTCACCTTACATTTTCACTTTCTTTACTCTCATATTTTTCTCAATTTTTCACGAATTTTCAACCAATACAATGTCGCAATACTTAATTAACTTTTACTACCACTTTTCACTTTTTTTTGCACTTGATACCTTTCATTTACCGATTTTTGCTTCCTCGTTTGTGTTTACGTTTCATGACATTCCCAGTTGAGCTGCAGCTGTTAAGCTGTTATGGCACCTTCGCTTTTCATTTTTGCCGCTTAGCCTTCCGCTCAGTTGTATGTCTGTGCTGTCGCATATAAATTACCGCCATCATGTTCGGAGGACATGGAATAGTTGGCCGAGTCGCGATCTTCGGGTATAGGTGTATTGACTAGGCTGTGCTGTAGTGGATCCTGCAGCAGCTTGGAGAAAGTGTGATGGCCGGCGCCAAGTCCCAAATGCCCATATGGCGATTCAGCCGCCTTGGTGACGTGCGGCAAGCGACGCAGAAAATGCGGATTCGAGTAGCGTACACCATTCGGCAGTGTCGTATGCATACCGGCGGGCGGTGGCGGTGGTGGTGGTGATGTTGACTGTGGCTGTGAGTATTGCTGCTGCTGTTCGTTTAGCAGTTGCTGTTGCATGCGCGCCGCATTAGCACCCGCCATCGCTACCGACGAATTGGCATATTGTGCACGAAAACTACTCAGACCACTGTTGAGCGGTGGCGGCGGCAGCGGTGGCTGTGAATGCATCGAGTATGCTGATGTGGTCATGCCATAGTTGCCACTACCGCGTACAGCTACTGCCGCCTGCTGTTGACTATGACAAGCTGCCGGTAGCGGCATTGTGCTACAATGATTGGCGTAATCGAATTTTTGTTCGGGTGCTGAACGTGTCAGTGGCAGTGTGGCGCTGTTGTGTGCGCGGCCCCCAGCAACACCACCACCTACGGTGGCAACATCACCGCCAAAACTGGACATGCGCATGTTGGTGCAGCGACCGTAGGGCTCCTCTTGAATGACCGGCTGTGGCGGTTTGGGTGGTGGCTTGCATGCGGCACGTGGTCGTATGACCACCTCCACGTCCCGCTCCTCGCCCGAGTGCACACCGCTCGACGATTCGGACGGAGCGCGCTCTGGCGGCGAAGTGGTGCTCTCTGTGGTGGAGGTGGTGTCGCTGCGCGGCGTTAGCGCTTCGTTGGGCACACCCGAGTCGGCACGACGCAGGCAGCGCGGCGTAGAGCTGGAGGCGATCTGGAAAGAAGCGGAAGAAATGTGAAAAACATGAAACAAGAGAAAATTAAAGCAATAATTAAATTCAGAATTGCAGTTTAATGGTGGTATAATTGAAGATGAAATGAATAATGAAGAAAGCGATTGGAAACAAATGGACATATTTTCAAAGACCAGAGCGTTGCAACTTTTTCATGAAAAAGGGGCTTTGGTAAAACAAAATTCAATGTGTATAAACACTAGCCTTATGTAGGCTGAGTTTAGCTGAAAACAGTTATGACAATTAAGGCCCAAAGTCTTATCACTGGGCAACGCTTTTGCTGAGACCGATGGAAACTTCTTACTATTCATGTTGCGGTGTTTGCTCAGCTCTCGTTTAGTCGACGAGCAGCGTACATACATTTGTCCAGGACCAGCTGACACGTGTTCGCGGCAGCCCCTGGTATCTAATCAGATTTAGAAACAACCGAGCGGAAATTAATAATTTTTAGTCTAATTTGAACTGAACCATAAATAAAGTCCTGGTGTGTTTCCTTCTTCATTAAAAACTGACTCTGGTCCGTTTTCTAACATAACGTGTTAGCTAACAAGGCAGATCTTGGTCAAGTTTCTATAATGTCTCTCGATCTTCGCTCGATTTGTGTAGCGTTAACTAATGGGGACCCACTGTAAATAACTTCTGCCTTAGTAGCGGCGATTATGGTGTAGAGATGGAGACCGTAGCAGAAATGCGATGTAATTTTTTTAAAACATATTTCCATGGCCCAGACTTGGTAGTCATGGAAATAGAGCGTGTTGAGCCAGCGAGGTGAAGTATGTAGAAGAAGGCAAATGAGGCATTTATGATGTACAAATGTTTTGTGCGCAAATCTCGGAGCTCTAGATCGTAAATCCTATGATGGATGTAAGGGCGATATAGTTTTACGCCGCCTCCGAACGACAGATGGTTTTATGAGAAGCTTTTTCATGGCAGAACTACATGTGTTAGCTTACAAATTATTAGAAAAAAATACTATGTTGCAAAAATCGAACTGTGGACTGCCAAGGAGCAATGCGCACCTCAACTTATTCGGCTATGGCGACCAACGCGACTATGATTTGGAAAGCGTAATATCGCATAATATGGGTAAATGGAGAAATTAAGTTCGCAATACTCGTTAACCCTATTGCCTAGAGATCAGAGCTTGAAGATAACTATTAACAAATTTAAGTGCTCGCATAATAACACTTATTGAAGGAGAAATACAGTATTAAACGGACATTAACCGCCACCTTTTTAAAAATGCTTTAGTGGTTGCTCTCAGTGAGAAAATTTTAGCCATGCGAAACAAAAATTTTTCTCAGTCAAGGAGGAATATAAATGAGAAATAAAAATAAATCTCCTTCCGTTGTATACGTACTTCCATATGTAAGCACAACTTCACTTGCACTTGCTCCTTAATCTATTATTCTGGGAGGTTTTGCATTTCACTAGCCGGCTCAAGATTATTCCCTAACCTAATAAAAACAATCCCACTACCCGGGTACCCGAATAAAAACCACCTCCTACCCGGGTGCCTGTCTAAAAATAACCCGCTACCTAAGAAACCGAATAAATATTATCCTTTAAGCGGATATCGCGTTAAACATAACCCGTTACCCACTTACCCGGATTACATATATTAACCCGGTTTCTCGGATAAGAATAACATGCTACCCAAGTACACAGATAAAATCTACGCCTACCCGGGTATTCGGGATAACCCCCTACCTAGGGAATGTGACACATATAGCGGATTAGGTACCCGGATAACGACAACCGCATACCTGGGTACTCGGATAAAGATAACTCCGTACGCGGGTACCCATATAAAGTTAACCCACTACCCGGGCCCGGCTAAATATAACCCGCTATCCGTAGTACACAATATTATTTCTCTCACTTAATAACCGAAAACCAGCCACCATTACAAATAAGTCTCCTAGGTTAACCTCAGTGGAGGTGATTTATTTCTCGAAATTAAAGATAGATCTAAGTTGCCAAACAAAATAATGCGCGCATTTGTATATATGTATATCTCACCGAGAGAAACCTTTATGCGACTGTCTCTGAGCATAAGCGGGAGCTCCGCTTTAACCAGTCCGCGTAGGTGTTCAAAATTAAATTTACTTTACATTCAATAGC